TATATTACATCATATTACATGAATATTTTTGGTTCTAAATTAGTCAGATTGATCCCTGAATCTAACATTACTGCATAAATATTAGCTTTAATATTCATTATAGTCATGTGAAGCTGGTTTAAATCCTTAGTATTTATAATACTCGGGTGAATTACCAACATAAATACCCCTGTAGGGTCTGAACCTCCATATTTAAACCTATTAGGTTCATTTTTAATGTTATTTTTTTCACTTTAAAGCAGTTTGGCTTTAAATCTGCTGGATAAATAACTTTCTATTCAATAATAAATGTGTGTTGCAGCTGCAGAACCAACACATTTTATAAACCTGCACATCTGGAGGTCGTGTCAGCCTCGTCAGGGTTCGGAGAAGCACGTATAAATGTTCACTTATGCAGTAAATGCACGTCCAGAATAACAAACAGTTTAATGCAGACAGGCGGCTGATGCTGGAGTTTGCTCTGAGGAATATTCACTGTATTCAATATGACACATGGAGGAACAAACTCTCATCTCAGTAAAGCAGGTTGCTGAACATATTCTCTGTTGAATGTTTGTTTGAGCTCCCAAGACTCTGCTTCCCCATGGAGCTGTTTGTTTGTTTGTTTGTTTGTTTATTTGTTTGTTTGAACAAGCTGCTGCACTTTTGATGATTTTGCAAGTGTTTTATAAAAATCATTAGAAGAAAGTTGTGATCAGTGTATAAATCAGAGTGTGAACCGCCGCCTCGGGACATCTGGTAAATAAATCACTGCAGCAGGGACACTCGTGACGGGACGGCTCCCTCTAGTGGACAATCTATTAAAGGGAAAGTTGAAGTTATACCTGGAAGGAGGCTTTTATTTTGTTATATTCAGGAATTAACAAGTGCAGCCGGTGCGATGCAACCCTCAGCTGGCTGTGCTGTGATCAGAATACTTACAGGATGCCCTCATGTTCTCATAAACCATCAAAAACTGTGAAAAAAGACCATTAACAGCAACACTTATGGTGCAAAAGACGCCGTTTGGCTTCATTCATAAGACACGAGGAGTTCCTGGTTGCAGCCGTTTGACAGCAGCTGTGTGTTTGTTTCAGAACAAGGACACACGGACGCCGACATGTTCTTCTACCTGCTGATCGTCTTCTCCACCATCAGCTCCTTGTACACGCTGATCTGGGATCTGCGGATGGACTGGGGCCTGTTCGACCGTGGAGCCGGAGAGAACACCTTCCTCCGAGAAGAGATCGTTTATCCACACAAGGTAGAGTCTGGTGGAGGTCACACGTGTATGATTGGAGGACGTTTAAACACGCTAACGCTGCCTGTTTGTGCGTCCAGGCCTACTACTACTGCGCCATCATAGAGGACGTGATCCTGCGCTTCGCCTGGACCATCCAGATCTCTCTGACCACAATGACCAAGATCCACTCGGTGGGCGACATCGTGGCCACCGTGCTGGCGCCCCTCGAGGTCTTCAGGTGGGTCTGAAGAACGTGACGACTGTCTGTGGTGCTCTAATTAATTCAAAGAAGGTTTTTTTTTTGTACATTCTTGTTCAAAAACCCAAATTACCGTAAATTCAAACTTCCAAAACGGGGTTGGATGCTTTCTATAGGAAGTGGAAAACCCACTAATGCCTGACTGTTGAGATGTTAGGAGATGCTGAACGTTCATCTGTCAGACACCAGACGGTCCCACAGAGACTCGTATCACCGCCTTCTTCCTCCTCTGCAGGCGTTTCGTGTGGAACTTCTTCCGTCTGGAGAACGAGCACCTGAACAACTGTGGTGAGTTTCGGGCGGTTCGAGACATCTCGGTGGCGCCGCTTAACGCCGACGACCAGACGCTGCTGGAGCAGATGATGGACCAGGAGGACGGCGTCCGGAACCGCTCAGGCAAGAAGACCTGGAAGAGGTCCTACAGCCTGTCGCTGCGACGCCCCCTGCTGTCCTCCTCACAGTAAGACGACATATGCACGCTTGACATCAGGCTCGTGTACGAAGGGTTCATTCCAACATTCATTCTGCCACACTGGACGTTATGCCAGAAGAAGATTTCTATGTTCCAACAGATAATACGTCAGATGAACCAGGATGTCCTACGACGCCTGGTTAGATCTGGAGTTGAAGCCAGCCTGTCTCTCTGCCTGTTCTGACCCACAGTCCTTGATGCTTCTACGTCTCTTTATCTCATAAACAAGCCTGAGCTGCCAAAAGCAAACAGAGACGACAGCTCATGTCATGTTATAATGAACCTGGTTCTACGCAAACTGCATGAAACACTGTGAAGGAAACTGGAGTTTGTTGTTAAAGTAAAAACAGAAAGGCTGTGATTTGGAACACAACCAGACATGTTTTTAATTTAGTTTGATTTATAAAGACTGAAGAAAGATTAAAAAAAAGGAAATTACTGTTGATTTAAACAAATCTTTAAATGCTCCAAAATCAAACAATCAGATCTGAGAGATCAGACTTCCTGTGCTGCAATCAGGTTTCCTAAAATAAGGTAAGACTGCTGTCACATATGGAGGTGAACGGAGGCTGAGACATACTGGAAACCAGTGTAGACAGGCTGAAATATACTGGGAGCCAGAGTAGAGAGGCTAAATTATACTGGGAAACAGTATAAAGAGGCTACAACATGCTGGGAACCAGTGTAGAGAGGCAGAAAATACTGGGAAAAAGTGTGCAGAAATGGTGCAAATGGACAGAAACATACTGGGAACCAGTGTAGAGAGGCTAAATTATACTGGGAACCAATGTAAGGAAGCAGAAACATACCGGAAAATTGTGTAGAGAGGCTAAATTATACTGGGAACCAATGTAAGGAAGCAGAAACATACCGGAAAATTGTGTAGAGAGGCTAAATTATACTGGGAACCAGTGTAAAGAGGCAGAAACATGCTGGGAACCAGTGTAAAGACGCTAAGAGGTACTGGAAAATGGTGTATATGGGCAAACATGTATAGGCTAAGTTATACTGGGAAACAGTGTAAAGAGGCAGAAACATACTGGAAACCAGTGTAGAGAGGCTAAATTATACTGGAAACCAATGTAAGGAAGCAGAAACATACTGGAAAATGATGTAGAGTAGCTAAGCTATACTGGGAACCAGTGTAAAGAGCCTGGAACATACTGGGAGGCAATATAAAGGGGCAGAAACATACTGGGAACCAGTGTAAAGAAGCTAAAAGGTACTGGAAAATGGTGTAAGTGAGCAGAAACATACTGGGAACCAGTCTAACTGCAGCAACACCAGGTGTGATGTAGTTTTGTCCAGATTTTGTTACCTGAAGCTGAACACAACAGCCCCCTCTAGTGGAAGCTCTGGCGAACTTCTAGTCAGCAGCACATGCTACACACTGTTTAAGAGATTGTTTGCTGGATTGTGAATCATATTAAACCAACACAATCCCCAAACGGGGAGTTTTAAAATGTTCTGAATGTTCCAGACCTCTGAAATCTTTTTCTTCTTTTTGCAGATCGAAGAAGGACACAAAGGTGCTAATTGAAGATACGGACGACGAGGCCTTCAGCTGAGTCCACAGCGTCGACGTGCACACACACACACACACACACACACACACACACACACACACACACACACACACACACACACACACACACTATACTTATAAGGACCTCATTCACAAACAACCTCAACCTTCTCCGTTACAGACCCAACCTCCCGTCCGACCGACCGACCCTCGCCTCCAGAGACACTTACCTCAGCGTTATGTTTTTGTGAACAGATCTTTATGAGTATAGACAAACACACACACACACACACACACACACACACAGTAGGAAGCAGAAACACACACTCAGACAAACCCGCTGAAGCACAAGCGTAGTGTCACAGTGCTGCAGTTCACCAGAGAGCCAACGCCACAGCGACAGTCAGACGGACGGACGGACGAGGGAACCCACAATGCCCGCGGGTTGCTTTCGTATCTTGTTTACTCTGAGATGTTCGGTTCCTTTAGATCCTTTCCTCTTTAGTTCCCCGGCTTTATTTAGGAGAAGCTGCACACAGAGACTGTTTACACGCCTTTTTAAAACTCCGCCAGGATCAGCAGGGAGAAGACGACGCCGATCAAAGGACTAACAAAACAAGAAGCGAGAGGACGGACTCGGCGCACGTCGCAGCATATCAACACAGATCAACTGGTTTCAGCTCGTTGATTCTTTTTATACTCCGTCGTCTTCGTTTTCTTGAGTTTCCAACGGCGTCCGTGTCCGACCGCAGCCCCGGACGCACTTGCAGGAAAAGTGCATTTAATACACACACACGAAAAAAAAGAAGAAGAAGTTTTGATTCAAACATTTCTAGTCTGTGAAGTTTTTCTTTGTAATATATTTCCTATATTTTGATGTGCGTTATGACTCTAAGTACTTCTACCTGTGTTGTTTCTACCAGTCCGACCAGTCTGAGCGTCCTCACGGTGACTGTCGATGTATTTTATAACCTCTGGAATGTTTTTCTCGGTTAAACTTGTGCCACGTTTTTTAAATAAGCTCATAGTTAGACCTCAGCCTCCCTCTAATTAGCTCAGAAAAGGCCTGTGAATCATCGCGTCCTGTTAACTCCAGCTGATGTACGTGCGTTGCTCTCGCTCTCTGCATTAACTACCAAAGCTTTGTTTCTATGAATGTGACCGCGGCCGCCTGAATGAAGGTCAAGCGACGCCAGAACACTTCTTCAGAGGATCTTTTCTTTTCATTTTCCAGGTTCGATCGAGCTGTTTTTCAGCAGGCAGCAGAGTCGCTGCCATGAGCAGAACTAGCAGTATTACTGATTGGATGTTGTGTTTGTTGTGTTCAGCGAGTCAGAGCGAGTGCATGTGTCAGTGGATCTGAGACGGAGAGACGATTAAGGGCAGTAACGTGGGGTTTTTTAATTGATTAAATGGGATTCGAATCAGATGGCGACAACAGCATTTAACGTACAAAACGGACAGATTCAATGCAAGGCGGAGAGACAAAAGAGACGATCATCAGTTGAAAACAAAATATATAAAAGGCCGACTTGCTTTTATCTGTGTGTCTCAAAGCTTCTGCAGTTTTAGGTGAAGTTTTAAATGCGTTGAAAGTAGAACTGAACAATTTAAGGTCAATATTTGCATTTTTTTCTTGCAGATATTTGATTTGCTTCAGTTCAATACTCACATGTGATGAAACGGTGTCAAAAAGGAAAATCATGACACAGCATGGAGCGAGCTGAGCTTAACTTCCTGTTGTCAACCTGTGGCAGGAAGTCCTCTGATCATACAAATAATACTAAAAACACAAACATTAGCTTCCCAGCATTAGAGTTCAGAAGGTCGCATTGAAGAACCTGCATGATTTTCTGACGATTACGTCCAAGATATTTTTCATTCTTTTGATGTGATCGTCTTCAAGGAGAGACTGAAAATTTTACCCACATTTCTGGGCTTAATTACATTTTTTTTTTGCAAATTTCATGCTGCCTTTGGGTGTCTCTACTCAGACGAACTATACTGAGCCCTTTAGGTCGTGACGCTACAGCTCAAATTTTTCACGCTGCATAAGATTTGCTAATTGCGTTGCTTGAAATTGCAATTTTGATTTGAAATCGATGAATTGTTCGGTCCTAGCGTGCAAAAAAGCTACACCCGTAAAAAAAAAAATCATGTTCTAGATCATGTTTTTGGCTTTTCAGACTTTATTATATACAGAAATGTTTAAAAAGTAGGTGAAATAACAGGCAGTAAAGTAACTTGACTCATGTTTCACCGTCTAAACGCGAGCAGAGAACCACTGATACATGCACCACAGTTCACCAGACGGGGGCGCTGCTGGAAATCCTCCTTGGCTAAATTGGTGCTGCCAGATGAGGTGGTTTTTACTTTTTTAGGTGATATTTCAAGGTGCAGGTAAAAATCGATGAGCAAAACATCCAGAACCCGTTCTGTGGATCAGCCGGGCTGCTTCCATTCGGCGCCTCCGTCAGCTGATCTGTGTTTGTTTGTCTCTGACCTTCAGTGTTTGTTCGATCAGATCCAACCCAGTAGACAAACCCAGATAAACGTGCTGCGGCTCCTCCTTCCTCCTTCCTCCTCTCGGCTCACGCCTGGAGAGCGACTTTACCGCCGGTGTGACCTCTTGTCCCCCGTTTGACCTCCTGAGCCGACTCTTTGCTCGAAGCCCAGAGAGCCGACTTGTTACAGGAAGTTATTTTTTTTTAAAAGCTCGAGAGTTTGTTGTGAGTCTAGAAGGTGGTTTAGAAGCTTCTCTGTCCGTTTTAAACACACTGAACACATCGTGGCTGCGTACAGACATAAAACACGACACACACACACACACAGCCCACAGCGCCCTCTCTGGTGTCGGAGAGCACGACGCCTACAGCGGATCGGTTTTGTATAAAGGCTCTGTTGTCTTGCCTGCATGCTGCTTTCGTTTCTACATTGTACATAGATCTTAATTTATTTGACATAATGTGTATATTAGTAATCATTGTAGCCGCCGACAATGATGGACTCCATTCGTCGCCATCCGTTGCTCCGGGATACGCAGTATTTTGTAGGTGACGAGGAGCTTCACGACCCTGCACTCGTTATTTTATTTTTTTGTTCATGTGTAAATCTGTTGAAATGTGTTTGTATAAAGGTAGAAAAAAAAACAAATCCATAGAAATGGAGAACGTGATTGATCGTATCTTGTTGGTGATTCCTTCGTGTTTCGAGGCTCCGTCATCTCCGGGGGGGTTTAGGGCTCGTGGAGGCAGTTTTTCCTGTTTGTGGATCAGATGGAGCCGACACAGGAACTCCTACCCATGACTAGATGCTGTTAAACTGATCCCAGATCTGCTTGAATATGTCCAGGACAGATCAGGTTTTAGGTGTTCAGTTTGTTTAAAAACAAAAAACAAAAAGCAGAAACAGGGTTTTGTACAGTTCGATGAGACGACGACGGTCGTAAACCCCGACATCTTGTTCTTCTCATGAGTGAAATCGATTCAGTTCCCGCCGCTTGCTGAAAAACCTCCATGATGTTAACAGTGCTTGATGTGCGTCCGCCCCTCCGTCGCCCTCTAGATGTTGTTTGTACCTTCTCTCTCTAAACTAGCTGAACGTGGTAGTACCTGTAGTTTGGTAGATTGATGTTCTCCTTTGATAAGATGCTAAAAAAAAAAAAACCCTACAGAATAAATACATTGTGGCTTCATGTGATTTTAAAGAGACATGACGAACGGAACGTGTCTCCCAGTCCGAACCATCCTCCCCGAGTCCCTTTGACAGAGTAGTTTGTACATGTCGAGTGTATAACACTGTTCTATGATGGTTTTTCTGATGGTATTTGTATTTCTGTAAACACTTTGGTGATCCTGTCATATCTGGGTTTTATAAACCACGATTATTTTTAAAACTTATCCTGCCTCTCCGGTCTCTTCTTTCAACACTGACTTTTATAACTTCTGCAACTTTTTTTTTTGTTTATTTTTTTTTACTGTGTTTTCTGTTTGTTGTGAACTTTGTACGAACTAAAAGCTGTTCAGATATAAAAGACTTCTGTCATTCCTCAACTAGTCCCAACTTCACAAGCCTCGACCAGGAACTCTAACATGTCTACAGAGTTCACCAAATGCTCAACAGTTCTAGTTTCATTTAGCTTCTATCCAAAGCGACGTACATCTGAGACCGACACAAGCCAGGATCTAGTCAGGAGAAAACCATCTGGATAAGAGCCGTAGAACAAGCTCAAGCTGTGTGGGCGGTAACAGGAAATTGTTCTGTTTGTTTTTAGTCTGTCCAGTGCAAAGGTGTTCCGTGAAGAGCTTTAGTCTTTTCTTAAAGACTGAGATGGAATCAGCAGATTGAGCAGAGTGTTCTGCTGTCGGCTACAGAGTGAACACCAGAGTCCTCATGCACTCCCAGCGTCTGAGCAACTAAACACCCGGTGGATTGTTTTTTCATGGCAATGTCACCACTATTACAGTAAATTCTTAGTGTTCGACAGTAGATGCCAAGAAACTGCTTGGGGTTCAAATTCAACAACATTGTGGTTCGAGACCCAATTAAACCCAATCGTTTGTTTACATCCTCCAGCTGTTAGAAAGAAAAAGCAC